GCCCCGGATGTGTCCCCCATGCGGAGGTAGAGAGGAGAGGACTGAAAAGGGGATTTGTGGGGGGAGCAGAGGGGGGCAGGGCCTCCCCTAGCGGGGTATTGGGGGTACAGCCCCCCAGGGGCAGGGGAGGTTGTGGGAGCATCGGGGGTGGGTGCAAGGGGTGCCATCAGGTACTGAGTTAGGGCGGGGAAGGGGGCTGGGCGTGACGTCACGTGTGTGTGTGTGTGTGTGTGTGTGCGCGCGTGTGTGCGCGCTCAGACGCCTGGGTTCCATGTGTGCCAGAGCAGGTGCTCCCAGGTGTGTTGCGTGTGCGATGCGGGGCAGGGCGGCAGCTGCGCGCCCAGGGCTACGTCCGTGTGCGTGGGGACACGCGTGTCACCATTTCGCGTGTTGCGTGTGTGCGTCCGTATCCCTGCTGGGGTGGGGGAGGGGGGAGCCTGGCTGTGCTTTGCTCCACACGGGCAGAAACCACGGGTCCCGGACGCCTGGGTTCCCTGGGAGTGGAGGGGAGGCGGGGGCTACAGGATGGAAGCAGGGCAGGGCTGGGAGACCGGAAGCCTGGTTTCTCTGGGCGGGGAGTGGGGGCTAGTGGTCAGAGCAGGAGGGCGGGGAACCCGGACCCCCGGGTTCCTCACCTCACCCCCCCCCACTCCATCCCCCACAGCTGGTGGCTGGGGGGCAGTTTCGGGTCATCAAGGAACCTCTGGGCTTCGTGAAACTGCTGGAATGGGTGAGTGACAGCCGGGGGCCGGCCAAAGGGATACCCCGCCCCTCCTCTGGCCTCGTCCCCACAACCCTCCCCCACGCCAGAGTCTGGGAGGATTAACACAGATTAGAGGGCAGGGGGGGAAGGGACAGATGAATCTATGGTGGGGGAACCCCACCTCTCCTAGTTCCAGCTCTTTTAGAACCTTCTGCCCTTATCCAGAACCAGGTTCTAGACCTCCCCCCCTCTGCTCCTGGGGGCTGGTTCTAGGCTTTGGACCTGACCCCCCAAACCCCGTCCATTCCCCCCCCAGCTCAGTTCCCAGTGACACGCTCTCTCCCACTGGCGACACATAGGGGGTGTATAGGGGTGCACATGCACCCCCTGAGATAGGCACTGCACCCTCTGCAAAAAGTGCTGCCAACACTGCTGCCTGGTGCCTGTGGGTGGTCACTGCTTGCCACCCCTCGCCTCTGACAGCGCCATGGCCGCCTGCAGGAGCTCACCGCTCGTGGCTGCCATGGTCCTGCCACCGACAGCACTGCTGCTGCTAGCAGGAAGTTGCCATGCCCCCCCAGCCTCCAAGGGCATTCATGCTCTCTCCCCTCCTGCCCATTTTCCCCCCAGTTCTCCAAGTCATCTGCAGGCATGTTCTAGATCCCCCCTGTTCTAGATCCCCCATGGTTCAAGAGCCCTGGGTCTTCCCCCTCCCAGTTTTAAAACACCACAAGTTCTGCCCCCTGGATCTAGAGCCCCCCCCCAGGTCTGGATTCCCCCAGTTCTACAGTCCTCTAGATCCAGGGGGCAGTGCTGGGGGGACTGTAGAACTGGGGGAATCCAGACCTGGGGGGGGCTCTAGATCCAGGGGGCAGAACTGGGGGGACCCGATTATAGACCCCTTGGTTGTAGAGCCCCCCAGGTTTACATCTCTTTAGAGCTGGACCCCCAGTCCTAGTCCCACCCTTCTCCTAAACTGGTTCTAGAGTAGCTCTAGATTGCCTCCCTCCCCTGACTGCTAGGGCTGTTCTAGAGCAGTTGCACACCCCCCCCCAAGCTGTGACCTTGTGTTCCAGAGCAGGCGCTCCCAGGTGTGTTGCATGTGCTCCCAGGGGTCCCAGGTGTCAGGGGAGAGGAGCTGCCCCTGGGGACCCAGGCATCTGGGACGGGCTAACCCACTGGAGGAATCTTCTAATTCCTCATTTACCCTTAATGCCTCTGGAACTATTCCAGCTGCCCTTCTCATGCCTTGCCCCCCCACCATGTCCAAAGATCAGGCCCCACCCCCTGAGCATCATGCCACTCCCCCCCCGCCCTAGGCAGCTACAGAATTAGGTCATCCTGGTCTAATCCATTACCAAAGAGGGGATTAACTGGTGGTAGGTTGAGGCGGGATGCGGGGCTGCGGTTTGACCCCTGATGCCTGGGCTCCCTGGGAAGGGAGAGGGGGCTAGGCACCCAAATGGCTGGGATCTCTGGCAGGTGAGTGGGCTGAGGGGTGGGGGAGGTAAGAGCAGGGGGGAGTGGGAGCCTAGATGCCTGGGTTCCCTGGGAGAGGAATGGGGCTGCGAGGTGGGGGTAGTGAACCAGACACCTAGGTTCCCTGCCTGCTGTCCCTCACCCTGTCCACCCCCCAGCTCTTCGCCATCTTCGCCTTTGGCACGTGCGGAAGCTACTCGGGGCAGCTGCGGGTGAGCGTGGAATGTACCGAAAACCGCAGTCACAGCAACCTTGACGTCCCCATCGCCTACCCCTTCAGGTCAGCTCCATGCTGGGCAGGGTGGAACTGTCCAGGGCCCACCAGCAGCATGGCATGGAATATAAGGCCCAGGAGAGACTTATGTTGTATAAGGACCAGCTGGAGATGTTACATGGGGATATAAGGCTGAGGGATGGTGTTATACTGGATGAAGCCCATGTGGGGACACTACTTGGGTATAAGGACCAGGTGGGGGCAATGCATAGGGTGTAAGGCCCAGGGGAGACCGCTGTACTATATAAAGCCCTGGCAGGGGAAGTGCATGGAGTACAAGGTCTGGAGGAGGGGATTATACTGTATAAAGACTGGCAGGAGACAGTGCATGGAGTATGAAGCCTGGTTGGGGGTATTGCATGGGATACCAGGATGGGAGGGAGCATTATATAGTGTATAAGGCCCAGGGAAAACTGTTAGATTGTACAAGGCCCCATGTGTGATGTAAGGATTAGGAGAGGGCATTACATGGGTTATAAGGCCCAGGGGGAGGTTACTATACTGTATAAGATCCAAGTAGGGACATTACATGGAGTATAAGGCTAGGAGAAAGCTGTTATACTGTATATGGCCATGGTGGAGGTGGGGGGAAGGAGTGCATGGGGTATAAGGCCCAGAGGATGGCAGTATATTATATAAGGACCAGCGGGGGCATTAAATGGAATGAGGGAGGGGGGCGTCCTTTGGTTCATACAGATACTAGCCCTAGACTCCACCTCCAGCAAACTGCACCAGGTGTCTCTGTGCCCAGCTGGTCCATACAGGCATTATAGGGCCTTTCCCTCATCCATATGGGTAGTATATGGCCTGCTCCTTGTCTATACGGGCACTTTAGGGCTTGTCCCCCCAGTCTGTATGGATGCTGTACTGCTCCTTCCAGGTGCCAAATGGGGCATATGGGCACTATAGGGCCTACCCTGGTCCATAGGGGCCATCTATGGCCCTCTCCCAGTCCATACAGTTGCTATACACTCCCCGCAGGCTTCACCAGGTGTACTTTCGGGTACCGAATTGCCAGGGGGGGGAGCCAGAGAAGGTTTTCCTGGTGGGCGACTACTCATCCTCCGCTGAATTCTTCGTCACCGTTGCTGTCTTTGCCTTCCTCTATGCCCTGGGTGCCACTCTCGTCTACCTCTTCCTGCAGGACAAGTATCGCCAGGGCAACAAGGGCCCGGTTATTGTGAGTGACAAGGCTTGGGGGGCAGGAGGGGATGGAGCCAGGAGAAAGGGGTGGAGTCAGAGATGGAGGGGGGTGGGGCAGTGGAACCCTGGAGGGGCCAGAGGCATTGCGGGTGCAGCTAGAGAGGGGTGGGGCCATGGCTGGAAGGGAGGGAGTCAGGGACATTGAGGGTGGGGCATTTTGGGAGGGCAATGGGGGTAAGGGGGGAAGCCTGGGGCCTGGGCAACAGAGAAGGGGGTCATAGAGGAAAGGGTGGGGCCTCAGCATTGTGGATGGGGCCTTGAGGAGGGTCAATAGGTAGGGCAGGGCCTGGGTGTCGTTATGGGGGGGCCATGGGAGGGGTCATGGGAGAGTGAGGGATGCCTGGAATAGTTGGGGAGTTTTGGGGATTGGAATGATTGGGGTGGGGGCGGGGGCTGGAGGGGGCTCCAGAGCCTGTGGGTTTCAGTGGGGGCTGGGAGGACTGTGGAGGATTATGGGGGCTTTGGGGGATTCTGGGAGGACTGGAGTGCCTTTGGCGTGGCTGGGGGCTTATGCGGGGGCTGGAGGGGTGCGCCCTGAAGGATACTGGGGAATCTGCGGGGGAGGGAGGGTATGGAGGGTTGGAGGGGAAGCCATGGGCATCCCTGACCCTCCCCCTGACCCGGCCAGGACCTGGTGGTGACGGGCACCTTTGCCTTCCTGTGGCTGGGGGGGTCATGTGCCTGGGGCAAGGGCCTGGCCGATGTGAAGGCAGCGACAGAGTGGAGCCAAGTACTGGAGGGGGCCAAGACCTGCCAGCATAAGGAAGTTGTCTGCCACCTCCTGCAGGCGCCTGTAACCTCTGGCCTCAACACCTCTGTGGTAAGAGAACCCCCAGAATCAGGACTCTCAAGATTGGGTCTTCTCTGAGACGTCCACCAGGATGGGGACCCTGAGCAAAGCCACAGAATCAGGTCCTCTCAGGATTGGTCCTCTTTCCCCTCCAAATTAGGCCCCCCAGGAACAGACTCCCCTTGGGAGCCCCCAGAAGTAGGACCTTCCATAGGATCTGGACCCCTCCCCTGGGAATCCCAGAATTGGGACCCCTGCAATGATCTTGTAAGCCCTGCAATACCCTGTGACCCCTGCCATGACCCCTCAGGTGTCCCTTGACCACCTGGGGCCCTGCAACCCTAACTGTTGTGGTGCCCTGTGATCCCTGAGGTGGTCTCTGCAGTGACCCTCTATCCCTGGGGTCCACTTTGCCCCCTGTTGGAACCTGAGAATCCCGGTGCTAGTACCCCTGATGATGCTCTTTGCCCCCTGCAGTGACCCTGATTACCCCAGTATTGACTTTTGAGTCCTGTGGTGACCTCTGTCACCTAAGGTGCCCCTTGGCATACCCCCAGCAGTACCTTCTGACTCTCAGTGCCCCTGACAACCCTAGTGGTGCTCTGACCCTCACAGTGACCCCAGTGATGCCTAACTTTTGGGGTACCCCCAGCAGTGCCCCAATGACATCCCCCATAGTCTCCTTTGAGCCCAATGGCCCTTGGGGTACTGCCAGTGGTACCCATTGACCCCTGGTGGTGCCCCAGATGACCCCAGTGGTGCCATTTGACCTTCATGGTGCCCCGATGACCTGCCATGTTGCCCTTTGACTCCTGTGGTTCCTCCTGTGATGCTCAGCGGCCCATAAGGTGTCCCTGGTGCTGCCCTTTGACTCCCAGCACTGCCCTCTGACCCTTGGCAGGTGTTTGGCTTCCTGAATCTTGTGCTGTGGACAGGCAATGTGTGGTTCGTGTTCAAAGAGACAGGCTGGGGAGCACCGTTCACCCGTGCCCCACCTGGTCCCCCTGAGAAGCAGGCAGCGCCTGAGGCCTACGGTGCCCCTGACCCCTATGGTGTCCCCGACCCCTACGGTGCTCCGGGTGGCGGCTACCAGCCAGACTACGGTGCTCCTGATGCCTATGGTGCCCCCGCTGCCCCAACTGCCTTCGCCAACCAGATGTAGCTGGTGAGTGACTCCCACTGTGGCCAGGGCCTGGGGGAGAGGGTGTGGCCATGGGAGGGGGTCAGCAGGGGCAGGG